AGTCTCCTGCCTCAGCCTCCCAAGTAGCTGGGACATAGGCACCCGCCACAATGCCTGGCTATTTTTTGGTTGCAGCCATTATTGTTGTTTGGCGGGTCCAGGCTGGATTCGAACCCGCCACCTTAGGTGTATGTGGCTGGCGCCTTAGCCGCTTGAGCCACAGGTGCTGAGCCCAGTTCTTCACTTTATAAATTAGAGACAACCTCAATGGCCCATAGTTTCCTCATCTGTAATTGTAGATGATGATCTCCAGGTCCCTTCTAGTTCTAATAGTTGGATTCTCCTATTACACCTAGCTCCCAGCCATGCCCCCGCTTTTTTAATTAAATCATAGCAGTGTGTACATTAATATTATCATGAGATACAGTGTACTGTTTCTGTATACAATTTGAAATACTTTCATCCAACTGGTTAACATAGCCTTCGTGTCTTTTTCTTAGTTATTGTGTTAAGATATTTATATTCTACACTTAGATTCACATGTACCCTTATAGGATGAACCATAGGTGTGATCCCTTTCTTTCTAAGCTGATTACCTCCTTTTGATATCTCTAGGGGGAGCATGGTGTGTCAGGCAAAGAGACAGAGAGACAAAGAGTATTAACTTTTAATCCTGGCCATTGGGCAGGTCACATAACCTCTGAGTGTCATTTTCTAACTTCTCGACTCTCCCCCCCAGAAGGAGAAGTGTCTCTCTTCTCTCCAATTGTTTAAATCCATCCTCCTGGCTCTATCTCAGTCCGACCTGCCTTCACCACTTTTTTTTTGCAGTTTTTGGCCAGGGCTGGGTTTGAACCTGCCACCTCCGGCATATGGGGCCAGCGCCCCACTCCTTTGAGCCACAGGCGCCGCCCCCTTCTTCACCACTTTTGTGTGTGTGTGTGTGTGTGTGTGTGTGTCTGTGAGACAGACTCTCACTCTGTCACCCTGGCTAGAGTTAAGTGGAATCATCATAGCTCACTGCAACCTCAAAACTCCTGGGCTTAAGTGTTTAGTGATCCTCCTGCCTCAGTCTCATAAGTAGCTGGGACTACAGATGCCCACCATGAAGCCTGGCAATTTTTTCTAGTTTTAGTGGAGATGGGTCTTGCTCTTGCTCAGGAATTCATGAGCCTGGGCAGAATATGGAGATGCAGAGAAAGGTCTTGATTCCTGAGCCTAAGCTATACTCCCACCTCAGCCCCCCAGAGTGCTAGAATCATAGGCATGCACCACAAGCCACTCCTTTTTCACCGCTTTTATCATCAGTCATCCCCATCCCCTTCCCCTTCATAGTGTTTTGGCTTTTCTTTCTCTGCTGGTTTCTTCTCCCAAAGATAGGCTTAAATTTCTCTCTTCCTAAAAACACAAAGAAAAGGAATCTTCTCCCTTAATCTTCTGGGTCCTCTCCAGCTACCATCCTATCTTGATCCCTCCCCTGCAAAGCCAAGCTAAGCTCTTTGAAAGAATAGTTTATATTGGTATTTCCACTTCCTATCTCTTCAAACTATTGCAACCTGACATTTCCTCATGCCCACATACATCGTTAGGTCACTAAGAATTAAGTCCAAAGGGAAGTTTTCACTTTCTATCCGTCTTGGCCTCTCTGTAATGATACTGTGGACGACGACCTCTTTCTTGAAACTTTTTCTCCTTAGACGTCCATGACATCATGTTCTCCTGGGTCTCTTGGCTTTGCCCATTCTTTTCTGACTCCTCTTCTAGTTCTTTTTCCTCTCTAGTAAAGGTTTATGCTCCCCAGAAATCTGGCTTGGCTTTCTTCTTTTAGCAGTATTCAAGAATCCTGGGAAATCTCATCCATTCTCACTGCTGATGATTCTCAAATGTCTTCAGGTAGACCTTCCAGGGCTCCAAACTCAAGCAGGCCAGTCACTTGGTGGACATTTTCATTTGGGTGTTTCTTTCGTGCCTCAAATTTAAGAGATTCCAAACAGGATTCACTGTCTCTACCCTGCTTTGTATTCTGTTTCCTTTGTCTGGCAGCATCACCACTTGGTCAATCCAATAAGCTAGAGACCTGGACCATCTTACTTCCTAAATCTTTCTTGAAATTGTCCATGCTTTTCCTTTCCTACTGCCTCTGCCCTAACTAAGCCTGATCCTCTCTTGCCTGGTTCCAGAATAATTTTTCTAATAAACAAATATAACCATTTCACGTCTCTGCTCTGGGTAAAATCTAATTTTCTTACTATCACATACATATAAAGCACTTTGTGGTCTGATCCCACCTTTCTCTGCATCTCCATCTTCTGCCCAGCCTCATCTACAGCCATACTAAACTACTCACCTCTGCCTAAACTTGACATGTGCACCCTTTCTTCTTCCTCCTCCTCTTCTTCTTCCCCTTCTTCTTCCTCTTCTTCTTCTTCTTCTTCTTCTTCTTCTTCTTCTTCTTCTTCTTCTTCTTCTTCTTCTTCCTCTTCCTCTTCCTCTTCCTCCTCTTCCTCTTCCTCCTCCTCCTCCTCCTCCTGCTCCTCCTCTTCCTCTTCCTCTTCCTCTTCTTCTTCTTCTTCTTTCGGAGACATAGTCTCACTATGTCACCCTCATTAGAGTGGTATGTTGTCATAGCTCACAGCAACCTCAAACCCTTGGGCTTAAGCGATTCTCTTGCCTCAGCCTTCCAAGTATCTGGGACTACAGGCACCTGCCACAACGCCCAGCTATTTTTTGTTGTAGTTGTCATTGTTGTTTAGTGGGCCCAGGCAGGGTTTGAACCCACCAGCCCTGGTGCATGTGGCTGGCGCCCTAAGCACTCAGCTACAGGCATGGAGCCCTGGCATGCTCTTTCAAGCCTTCATACCTTTTGTATGATATTTCCTGTGCCTGCAATGGTCTCATCC